ATAAGCGTCATTCTTTCCATGATTTATGGGCAATAAATGCTCCATCTTACCATACAATATTCATACGTGTGTACCGTATGATTTCTTCTCGTGGGCAGAATTTCACTTTTACATTCTACATTAATTTCTCATTATTACCTTTATTTGGGCTGGATTTCATCACATTATATACGGTACATATTTTTTGGAAGATGAACTACATTTTTACCCTTATTTTGAGCGGCAATTTTGCCTCCTAAAGTTGTAGTTGCACTGTTACTTCATATTATATAAAGATATATAGCTATCATAAAATATACGGGTATTGGAAGTGTTTGGAAAATGACTTTTTTCAGTAAAAAAAGTGTTTTGACCCCTTTTAGCGTTTTTGGTAAATAGTTGTTTTGGCCTAGCGTTTTTAGATGCAACTGTTGAAATAGAAACACTGCAAATAGGAGAGTATTGAGTTAAGCGTTTTGATACATGAAGTTTTTCACTAATTGTTATGGTCAAACATTTAAATTACCAAACTTTTTATGTCAACCCGCCAACAAATTCTGTTAGTCAAACTTATTGATTAAATCCGCTATTGACAATTCGTTAATATAATCAACCTGTTATTCGCTAACAGCTAATTGGGGTTTAATGCAGGAAATCCCCTTATATATGATATCTTAATTCAGCATGCTATCCCCTTCTGTTATTAAAAAGGCACAAAAGTCCCTTCTGTTTTAATAAAGTTAGCCTATTATTCCTGTAAACTGTGAAACTAACTTCTTTGTACCACACGCGCCATTGATGCGATTTGGAGTCATTTTTTCACCTTTTAAGCTAATAAAATGGCCAATTTACCCTCCCATATTCATATCTCATTTCCCTGTTAATCTCTTAACTCGTACTGTGGGTTTCTCGGTTTTTGTTACAGTATATATCCCGCTTGTGTAAGTGCACTATATGCATTTGAAATTAATTATTTTACATTTAACTAGTATAGTACCCGTGCGATGCACGGGATAATAAATTTATAATATTCCAACTACTGATGGTTTATTAATTTTCCTACAATGGATTTTGAATTATTTACATATAAATAAATCATGAATTAACATATGATGAAGAATAATGATATAAATATATGTTTATCGTTCTAATTCACACTATAAAAGTGAATTATAAATTAACGATTACAATTAATAGATTTATTACCGAATCTAAATAATAAGGGGAATCAAGTGCACTCAATTAGTTACATTTCAAGTTTACAATTTACAAAATGTTTGAATTCACTTCTACTATATTGACGTTATTCATTTTAAAAATTATCCCAAAAAATGATTAGTAATAAAATTTGATATTGTTAATAAAAGGAAAATTAATTAAAAAGTAATAATTATGGTGTTTAATTTGTGGTAAATTTTCTTGTCTTATACACTAATAAATATCAAAGAAGGTGAAGCAACTTAAAACATCTATCTCTTATCTTTTAGTTTTTTTTTTGAAAACTTAACCTTTAGATTTGTAGAAGTGACTAACTTATTCACAAAATAATCAAAATAAAAGTCGTGGGCAAAAATGTGACCCTATAGCGATTATATGTAGTACACACGCATATAGAAAGAGTAGTGATTATAGCATGTCGGTCTGACAGGAACTCCATCAAACCAAATTTATATTTAGCCGAAAATGAAGTTTATGATTGAATTTTTTTTCATTGGTAAACAATCAGTTTCAATCGCCAAATAATTAAAAACAAATATTACCTCCGTCCTGAGGAACTTTGCCAACTTTAGATTAGGAGAAAAATAAGAAAAGTAAAAGTTGTATAGTTGAAGTTTGTGTACAAAGAGAGAAATGAGCAAAATCACAAATATAGTCAACAAAGTCCATTGTAGGGATGAGCATTCGGTCGGTCAAATTACTAACGGATAACCGAATAACTGGATGGCCAATTTTTTTCGCTCTAATAACCGACCGAAACCGACCGATAGCATCACAATATACCCGATCAAAAAACCGTAGTTCGGTTTTGGTCGACCGAATAACCGACAATATCCGCCATATAAATTTTTTATGCATTATTTTTCAAAATTTTGAATGCTTTAAGTAAATATATTAGAAAAAATATTTGATACTAAAATGGATGAAGATAATTGATTTTTTAGATTACAAAACAAAATGAATGAAAGGATTGATCATATATAAAATGCTTTTTCTCCTTTCATGAAATGGAGTAAATAAGAAGAAATGAATTAAATTATCTCATAATAAAATTAGTTTTCTTACGCTAATGGTTGTTATTCTTGTGCATGAGCTCATTTTATCTCTTTTGGATCTACCACTACATACTAAATACATGAGATTTATTAAAATATGAGGGCTTGCCTTAAATATTACTAAATACTAAAGTAAACTAAAATATGACTTAAGTTAACATGAGTATATCTATTCCATTTATGATTACTATAATATAGAATTGAACACAATCATGCACATTAAATTATAATTATAGTCATTTTAGTATGAAAATTAGACATTTGTATCCACAATATTCATGCTGATCATATATTGACATTATTTCTTAGAGTAATTATGATATGTTATTAAGTGAAACATCATACCATACATGAAGTACATACATACATTAATATGAAGTAGACTATACTAATTTGGTTTTCGGTTAACCGACCGAAAATTATGGAGTATTAAAAATTAAATAATCCAATACGAACAGAAAATTATGGAGTATTAAATATTACTATGCATTACAACTGCTCTCTAAGAGTTAGCATTTTAAAAAAAATCGTCCATCACAACATCAATTGTAACTATATACAATAGGAGAACTATTTGATACATTAACCGTTGAACTTTCTCAAACATTGTGGCTTTGATTGAGTGGTAGTGGACTAGTGGTTATTTTTTTTATAGCAGAGGCAGAGCCAAAGAACTTGGCCGGACTGGACCGGTACAAAGAATAATATAATTTAGGAAAAAATGTTAGATTGAACTTTTTACACTAAAAATATAAGCATTGTTTAATTTTGGGTGGATCGGGGTCTAGTTTTCCCCTAGCTACGCCCCTGTTTTATATTGTAGTATCTTATTATCATTGTTTAATCCAAGATTTTAAATAGCGGCCCGCTACCGCTATAGCGGCCGCTATATAGCGGTCACGGTAGGGGCCGCTACCGCTACGGCCCGCTATTTCTTTGTGATTTCCAAATCACGGAAAAAAACCGCTACGCCGCCCGCTACAGCCCGCTACAACCCGCTACAGCCCGCTACCGGCCGCTATCGACATTTCCGGCAGTACATCATGAACTATTTCATGTGTAATTGTGTAAATGTTGTGTGAATGATGTGAAAAAATAAATTAGTGTTCAAACCAATATTCATAATCTTTCTATTAACTGTAACACCCATTAAATATATGTTTTGCGCATTTCAAAATAATTCACGCCGCTGCAACCGCTACAATCGGCTACAGGCCGCTACGGGCCGCTATCGCGATGACCGCTACCGCCGCCGCTACCGCCGCCGCTACGGCTATTTAAAACCTTGGTACTTTAATCTGTTCAAATATACTCGTGAACTATACACCCTATAGTGAACAACAATTTAAACTTAAACTTTGAATTAAACAATTCATTCTCAAAGATGAAATTAAATACAAATAGTAAAATAATGAACTAAAAATTAGCAAAGTATAGAACTGCAAGGAAGACTCTAATAGTAAGATAAAATAATAGCAAATTACTAATTTAGAAAAACCTAAAGGGATGAGATTATATCATTAACATAGCTAATTCACGTAGTATAATTTAAAAGGGATAAAGGGTGTGTGCCTGAATTGAGTTAATACAAAATTAACTCAATTAATTAATTGAGTTCGGTAATGTCATTGAAGTAAACCGATTGCATTGCTCGCTTGTCCACCCGTTTTTTCCACTCATTTTTTAGAATTGAGTTAATACAAATTAATGGGGGCGTGCATGTTTTTGGTTGGGGGCACTACATTTTTTATTAATAATATGCATATGCAAAACACTAAAAGTTTGGACTTCATTGGGGGCGTGTGCCCCCATCAATTGCTTGATACATCCGCCCCTGTTTCTAGACAAGAGTATTCATTGGAGCGCTTAGTTCTTCAGGTTCAAAAGAAATCTGTGATGGTATTTAACATAACCCTCCCTGGTGGAGAAAAACCAGTAAATATAGTTATATTTTAATCATTAAGGCCAACACACTAAGGAAAGCTAATAAAAATAAAAGCTTCTGAAATCAAATTGATTTTCAAAACAAGTGTTCAATTATCCCTGCGGCACTATTATATATAGAGTATGACTAATTAAAATCACTGGATGGTGATAGACGGCAATGTTAATCAGGTAAATAATTTACTTGAATGACAGAACCAACTCACTTCAATTGAGGAGAGGATCAGGGAATTGTTAAGCAAAAGAAAGAAATCATCATGTTAGTACCTGTAGTAAGACTGGCTAAAGACAGAAATAATAGATCTGAAGAACCAACAATCTATCTATACTTAATTAAACGAACTAAGTGAAGCTAGAGTTTCTCCCGCCTAATCGTCGTTGGGTATTTTAGTCAATTCCTAATCTTCTAAATCCCCAGCTCTCCTCCGCTTCTATGCGTATCCCCCAGCGAACATCCTTCTTCTGGAGCTTCTGGAGAGACTCCGCCTCCTACACGCTCAAGACTCCTCCTTTTACGCACGAAATACAAGAAAACTGTTGATATAAAATGGTGCCAATAGTTGTTTAAAAAGGAGACCAGGTGATGATGTTTTTAAGGAAGCATATATTTCCTATAGGGTCTTGCAACAAGCTGAAGCAGAGGAAATATGGTCCTTACAAATTTTGAAAAAGATTAATGATAATGCATATGTAATTGACCTTCACATGAATATTTTGAAGACTTTCAATGTGGTGGATGTATAGGAGTCTCTTGAGGACGTACCTTTATATCCAGATTATAACTCAAGGTCAAGTTTTTCACAGGTGGAGGGACTGATGTAGTAGCACAATGTGGTGATAAGAAAAGCTTGACAGAAAACGAGCGGCATGAAATGGGGATAACCCCCGCCTCGGTGCTCCATCTGAGGCATGTAAGATATCAAATTGAAGCTTTTGTTGTGCTCTATCAACTCATATTGCTTTTATCTCATTATGGAGCCCCACACTGTGAGACCGTTGATCCCAGAACTTATGGGACAAAATTGCAGTTTTGATATATAAGACTTATTTTATTTATTTATTAGCGTTGAACTACAAGTAAATTACTTAAAGTTTTTAGTTAAATGGTGAGCCATATACTCTGTACAAGGTTCCTAAACATTATGTTATTGTTTTTTACAATAAACATTTGTTGGGGTAATTCGCCGGATAAACCTGCAAAAAAAATCATTAGAAAATAATATAGCTCGAGTTGCGTAAACGCTGTCCTCAAGAAAGTATTTCCGACTAGCGAAAATCTTTCCCCAAGATAAAACGAGCTCTTCGGAACAAGCCGGTAACAGAACAACGAGAACACAAAATATTATTAATCCAGCAGAGTAAGTGGGTAGAAAATATATTTTGCTAGCTATTAGTTACAAAGAGTACTCGATATTTTTTCTTAAGAGCAAAACTGATTGTACTTGGAAGACCAAAATCCCACTTTGCCTCTACATACACATGCATATATATATATATATATATATATATATATATATATATATATATCTCTACAATATTATAAGAGGGAATTTTGTTAGGGGTTAAACTGTCATAATAAAAATGTTGGTGTCTCTTGATGCATAATCTGATTATACTTTATATTTACTTGGTTGTACATCCTTAACATGCTGGCACCTTTCAACGTTATATCCTTATTCATTAATTACGACGACACTCCTCAGCGTTATACGGAGTATCAATCCTTAGCTCTTCTATTTCTAATTTTCTACTATTCATTTATTTTGTTGAAAACTTTTCAGCTTCTCTCTTCGATTTCAGCCGCTGCATCCTGGCCTCGTAATGACCTCTGGAGGGTTTAGCATCTCAAAGGTCATACATGGTCGATTGTAAGTAATTTTCCGCAGCTCTTCAGTGAATTTTGCTCTTCTTCTCTGTTATAGCCTTGTGAGTTTTTTCTCTATTCAGCCAATTTGCATTGTATTGTATGGTTACTTGATTGTTAGTGTTCTCCGCATCATCTTGTTTATTTCCCTCTATCGTTGTTATGTACGGGCTCCCAGAATTGTTTATGATAGTAGTTTGGGTGGTGATTCCAATTGTGTAGTCTCCCCTTTATATTTGTGCAATCTATGTGTTTGTTTAAATGTCCAGAAGTAAGTTGTTTTGTGCGTTCTGATTACATATTGAGAAGATACGTCATTTATGTTGAGTTTTAGTTTCTCGGGAGTTAAAAAATTTCCTGGACAAAATTTTCTCTGTTATAAAATTAAATTTGCTATAAAATGGCTGATTAGTTTCAGCTCTCTGAGTCTCTCATTCCTAGTTATCCTTTGGGCTAAATAAAGCGGATGTGAAAAATGAGCGAATCCATTTTGGGATTTCAATTACTGAGTACTGAAACTATAAAGCATTTCTCCAAATATAAGTATACTGGAAAGCTCCAGCATTTTTCCGAAGTCTCCACCCCAAAAAAAATCATTCTTTTTCTTTTGTCTATCTCAATATAAACTTTTTTCCCTTTTACGTTTTTTTTATATCTCTACTCCATAGTACTTGGTCTTTTCTTTTGTTAAATGTAGAGAAACAAATGTTTGTATTATGTCCGTGTGAGTAAGTACCCTATAAACAGAACAAAAAATAGTCATCGTAGGAAAAACTCATGTTTTTGCATGCTTTCCCGTATGCAGCTTTTTCATATTGTGATGTTCAAACCATTGCCAAATATCCAACTGTATTGCTTATGCGTGTTACTGTTCGATTTCATTCCTGACTTAGCAAATGTCACATGATTAGGTAACAATGACGTGGCACAACTGATACATGCGCTTTTATTAAACACTTTGTTTGTATTATTTTCAGTTTTCCACCTTCTATAGACTAATTTAACCTTGTATGTGCTTTTTAAAATCTTTTTTAGGCTGGAGAGATTGTTGGCAATTTGAGCTGAGCGTGTTTCGTCTGGGGGTAAGATAATTTTCCCCATTCCATTTTACCTATGCATATCTTGTCTGCTGTTTTAGTTAGGTTTTTCAGCAGTGTTTCCTTAAAGAAAATTAATAGCCATATTAATTGTTTATCTTCTTTGCTTAATCACAGGGGAAGCGAATATTTTTTTGACTTTAATGGTGTACATAAGTCTGGTTTAGCTAATAAATACTACGTATTAAGTAAAATGAGAATTAAATACTTATAACTAACAAAGTTGACTATGTTATTGAGTTGGAAAGGAGGTCTCCTAATTGAATTCGAAGGAATTGATACATAAGGAATCATGTGCAGTTGTTAACCTTAGTTTAACCAAATTCTTTTCATTTAGGTTCCTTCTTTGTTCCTCAGATACATACATAGAGTTTGCAAAGAGCTACTGAACAATTTAAAATATGAAGCGAGTGTCCTCTGGTCATTTTTCCCAACACATCGTTAACACACTTAGTTCCAAATCGGTAAAAAATAATAGGTAATTAGCTAATACATTTAAAGTTCTATGATTCTAACTCACTGGGCTCAGGAGAAGAAGCATCAATGTCCAAAAAATTACAATTCTGCCGTGTTTTTCTATCAAAATTCTTAGGGGATGAACTTCATGGAAAAATCAAATTACTCACAGTTTTCCTTATTAAGCACACTTGTTGGCTTTTTATTTCTGTGAAATGACCGAGTATGCCGAAATTTACAAAATGAAATGTGTTTGTTGGCATCTATTTGGGCCAAATATCAGTTTTGTATCAGTATTCATTATAATTTTCTTTTTTCTCTTGGACAAGATAGGAAAATGTTCGCTTAGTTTTCTTTAATAAATGTTTTTTTTTTGCACAAAAACAAATATAAATTGAAATTTGTATTTCCCCTACCTGTGAACTTAGAGCCCACTTTTTAAAATTTATGTGCTTGTGAACTGAGTTAGCCTGTTGATGGTAGCTTTTTTCCCTGCATATGACACTATGAAGTTAAAATATGAATCCAACTTCATTTGGAGAATCTCATGTTTAAAATAGAAGGGTCACTATTTTAAAGAAAAACGTAGCAGCGGCAGATTTTTAAAAATAGTACATAGAAGTATGCCAAGTAGTCTGACCAACTGCCTTTTGGCGATTGTATGAAATATGAATGCATGATTTTTATTTTTTAGGTCTTTATAATATAAATTGTGGCTGAATATTCGTTATATATTTCTTTTTCTTCTTGATTCAGATAGTTAAATGTTCAATAAAAAAAATTATAAATACGTTTTTTAAAAAACAAATCCCCTACCTGTGAACTTAGAGCCCACTGTGATTTGTGCTTAGCTTACGTTGTTCTATATTTTGCTTAGCCAAGGTAATTTTTATAAATTATTAAGGGACTGTTTTATGGAATGATTATTTTTATGGAATGTTTTTTAAAATCAAGTTGCTCTGTTTTATGGAATGATTTTTGTTTTTTTTTGTGTAAAATCAAGTTTTTAAAAGACTCTTTTTATGAGATGGAGAGATCATCACAATCACTCCTTCAGATGTAGTAAGTAGTAACATAGTTTTGGTATTGAATGCTTTTTGCAGGGGAGGATTTCCTACCCTTCTTTTCTTCCCGGTCGGAAACAAATATGTGATACGGAGTATTTTGTTATGTGTGGATGTAGTTTGGTAAGATGTATTCAATAAATATTACATGGGAAACACTTTGTGATATTGACAAATCTTTTTTATTGTTTATGATTCTTTATCAATATATAACAAACTATGTATTCAAATATTGTATTTATATCATTCATATATTCACTCAACCTAGAGTCCTAGACTGATGAATTAATGTCTCTACAGTCTTGGGCATTTCCACGAACGCGCAACGCGCGTTACTAAACTAGTATATATATATATATATCTGTAATATTCCAGCCAAACCAAATGAATCGTTGGAGCTAGTATATTAATTCACATTTAATAATACTAATAGCTAGCAGCTCACAAAACCGTTTTGCTAGAAGACTAGAAGCTCAATTGAAATTGTCAATTAATGCGAAGTTTATTAATATTCAACAAAGGATCAAAAGTTGAAACGGACAAACTCAATTTTATAGCCATAATTTTATTATTTATAAAATCTAAGATTTATTATTAAATTAGTGTGTAAAAATAATTAAAGGAAATATTATTTTATTCATTTGAAATAGTCTTATATTTCCAACAATCCCCCACATATTTCAAATGAATAGTTTTTAGATGTTAAAGATATTTTAGAAACTTTCTGCTGGATTAAAAGAAATGAGACTTTAAGTTTGGTGCCCGTAGACTATGAACCAAACTGAGACGATTAAGTCTTAATAAACCGAGCTTTTGGTGAAACCCATAGTTTCTTGAAACCAACAAGCCACTATTGGTAAATCAGGGTTTTAACGGTCGAATCTCACCCCGCACAATTTCTCGTTATTACGCCGTTGTGCGCCGTAAGACCATGCACGTGCTTGGTTTTCATGAGTGCTCTAGAAGTTTTGTCATGCTTCATGTAGGCGGCCCCACCTCACACTCATATAGGTGATATCATCAAGTGTGTACCGCTTTTGCACACCACCCTAAAATTAAGGGCTATGATAATCATTAAGAACTTTTAGTTCAACCTCTCCAAGAATGCGGTTTCTAGCCTATATCTCACATTATGGAAATGGGAATTTTAGTAAGGCTAGCAGAACTAAATGGAAGACTTGTTATTACCCATTTGAACTTGCTTCATGGGATCTCCAATCACACAAGTTGGGTTCCCATCCCCATTCGTTTCAAGTGACACTAGTCCCATTTCCTTCGATGTTTCGGTTATCATTTTTCGTCCTAGGGATTCTGTCAAAGGAGTAGCTAATTCCTTCACAAAATTAATGGAAATAATTCCATTCTCAAACATCATTTCACCACCATTAAGGGTGAATGGATATCCACTATTTTAATTTATCTCATGCGAGTCGACTCGGATTTCGTCGTTGTATCCCGGCAATACAACGGATAATTCTCAATAAAATATAACATCGATGTGACTCTCTAGTACATCGGATAATTCTCAATAAAATATATATCATAATTGTATCATTATAGTACAATGGATAATTATCATATATACATAATCGTTGTACATCTTTATTAGTACAATGGATATTTCTCAATAAAACATATCATCGTTGTATTAATAGATTACAACGGATAATTCTCAATAAATATACCATAATTAATGGTACCTCTCAAATATCTCAATAACCGCCTCAACGCAGTCCAATGATCCCACTTGGGTTATGAGTATATCGGCTCAATCTTCCGACAACATAAGTTATGTCGGGCCTCATATACAATTTATAAAATGTAATAAACATCCAATAATTTGGGAATAGTCATATTGAGCCTTAAGATCACCTCTTATATTTTTAAGTGCATATGAGAGTCATAAGGGATACTCACGGGATGACATTGAAATGTCCAACCTCTTTAAAAGTTTATCAACATAATGCTCTTGAGATATTATGATACCATAATCCTTCCTTATGACTTTCATACCCAAAATCGTTTTTGCTACCGCCAAATTTTTCATACTATAAAATTCACATATAATCCACAATTCCACATACAAGTAAATAATAATGCACACAACTTTTCACATTTAGTGCAAACACACTTTTCTATTTCTACTAAGGTGAAATCATAAATAAATAACACTACCTCAAATTTTCCATTCCATTGTTTTGGAGCTAGCTTGTTTCAACCCATATAAAAATTTGATCAACTTACACACGTTGTGTTCCTCACCAGTAACCACATGACCCCCCGGTTGCACCATATAAATTTCTTCCTCTAGCTCTCCATTTAAAAACACAATTTTAATATCCACTTGATGAAAAAAATTGTGAATAGAGTCAATTTCACTTTAAATGTCCCCAAGAAAGAATGTGTTTTTTTAAGAGATAGTTTCTAAATAAGTCAAAAATTCATCATTAATAATATATGTATAAAAATTATTTCCAAAAGATTTCACTATCTTTGGCTTTTTACTTCTTCTCAAAGAGAATATTCATCATTAAAAGAATAATTTTATTTTAATGGCTCACTATCACTAGAGAGTTCATCCTTCATCATTAAAGGTTTTATTTCCTTGTAATGGATTATACTCGCTATATGGTGCAACGGTCTTGTGTTCAAATTTCAAAGGAAACACATTTTTTTTTAAATCAGCAATTTTGTTTCAACAACGTATAAACAAATAATTATACATGCATCATTTAATGTGTACACTTTCTTCAAAACAATCACATTGATATCATCAATTACATAGCTTAAAGTATTGCACATTAGCACACTATTTCTTCAATTTATGAAAATCACATATGTGTGCTCCAGTGTATCAATTTATGCAAAGGTAGCCAAAAGTTATAAAACTCATTTTCACTCAATGGGACAGATAATAAAAATTTAGCTAATATTTGGCACGAAAAATTGATAAGTCCATGCCAAATTCCGTGCTAATCCCTCCTTTTTTTGTAGTGGTAATGTTATATTGCTATATACGGAGTACTTATTACTCAATCGCAATTGTATAGGCAAGCACTAACAATCTTTCATAATAGTTAATACTAAAACCTAATATTCCTCTTTTCACCATGTAGATCGAATTTCAAACATTGTAACTCATCAATTTTCGATTTATAAAAAGCAATCATCACCTTCACGTTCGCTGTTCACAAAGACACTGGCCGAGCTTTGGCGCATACGAGTAAACTTAGTTTTTTTCATAAGATTTTTTGTGGTAGGTACTTTTTTCGCAAACATGGTAGGATACTTTTAAAGAGGCATTTTAGGTTGAATGGTGAACAAAATTCATTTTGGACAACAATACCATAGGCTCCACAGTACTAATGATAAAAAATACTTCTTATATAATGAAATTTGAAACGTTTGCCACACTTTCATTTTTGAGGTGTATTTTAATTTTTGTCACACTTTCATTTTTGGTAAGTTTTTACTTTAAAAATGTTCACACACCCTTATTTTTTATATTTTGTGGGCGTGTAAGCGTGTTTGGCATTTAGCGATTAACGGATAGAGGATTATGTTAGCGGGTTGCCGAATTGTCAATAGCAAATTCAGTCAGCGGATTTCACTAGCGTAATAAGTCAGCGGGTTGTCAAAAGATGTTTGGTAATTTAGCTGTTTGGGTATAAAATTTTGTAGAAGATGTCATATCCAAAAACTCTAACCCAAAACTTTCATATTTGCAGTGTTTCCGTCCAAAAACGTTATGGCCGAACAACTGTTTACCAAACAACATTTTCATTTATTGAAAACACTAAAATGAGTCAAACAACTATTTTTTGGCTGAAAAGCCATTTTCCAAACACTCCCTTTATCTCTCCTTTCATACTTTTCGCTATTCTCTTACTTTTTTTACCTTTTTTTATCTCCTCTATCATACTTTTCACCATTCTCTTACTTTTTTACCTTATCATCATCCTCAGGGGCAGCCCCGATAGTTTCAAGGCCTAGAGGCAAATAGTTTATAATGGGCCTAATTTTAATAAGAGAATTTTTCACAAATGGCTAAAATTTGAAAGTAATATCAGTTGTTCGGCCATAGCGTTTTTGGACGGAAACACTGCAAATATGAGAGTTTTGGGTTAGAGTTTTTGATATGACATCTTCTACAAAATTTTATACTCAAACAGCTAAATTACCAAACATCTTTTGACAACCCACCGACTTATTACGCTAGTGAAATCCGTTGACTGAATTTGTTGTTGACAACCCGGCAACCCGCTAACATAATCCTCTATCTGTTAATCGTTAATCGCTAAAATTTGAAAGTGTTTTTCAAAAGTAGTCAAGTTGATGTTTTCTTTTCAATAATGGACTCCTACTCCTGAACTAATACTCAGGTACTCCGTGTCTTAATAAGGAACTCTAAAAGCATTAGACTCCACTCCGTAACCAACATCATCAGGTCATATGTTCATTTTCTTGGTCTCAATTTTTTGATCATCAAACGGGCCTCTATTCATATCAAAAGATTCAGGATCATTACATCAAGCAAAAAGAAAATAAAACTGACACCAACTAAAACTTCAACAACTACGACTGTAACCCTATGGTGAGACTTTGAGACGGTCACCCCTGAGAGAACAACAAGAATCGCTAACCATGTAGTGGGCTTGACACAGCCAAACCTATTCCCATAGATCCAACCATACCCAATGACATAAAGAGAGGCAAAAAACTCAAACAAACTGTCAAAACCAACAACAAAAGTGGACACAAGAAAACAAATAACAAACAGATAAAAACTACAAGAAAAGCGTTCACAAACTCTAGCACCTCGTACATCCCATGGTGGTGGTTCAGGAGGAGGTCTTACCACCGGTACCATGCTAATTGATACTCCGTGACCTTTGTCTGCCAAAGGCCATGCATCAATCCTCTGTCCCTGCATAACCAAACTCATCCCTGCTTCATGCAACCAGAGTAAACTCACCCTTGGCGGCGTCGATCTTCTCCAACGACGACACCAATACATCATCCTCGAACCTTGACCACAACGCCAATCTCCTCGAGCCATGACAGCAAATCCGCCCTTCGAGTATGAAGCACAAACAACAACAGCCGTCCTTCGATTAAAATCGAAGACGGAAATAGTGGCCGTCCTTCGATTAAAATCGAAGACGGAAAA